AATAAACTAACAAATAATTATCTGTTTGATCAACAGTCTGCATTCCAGGAGGGCTGGGCGACGAGTCTTCTTTCAGCATACTACCCACTCCTCATGACCGGGTCTTCGCTAATCGTCTGCTTTTGGGCAGAGGTAAGTTCCTTTTTCTTTTTAATGAAGGGAAACAAAACGATTCGAACAACTAGACGCGGGTTCCATGAACACAAGCAAGAATTTAGCAAGCAAGTATGGTGTTAGTTGCTAATTAGATTTAATACAAATTTAAGAAAAACTTTCATAGATTTCTGTCAGGTGGCGCTACGGCAAAAGCCGTTAAAATAAAACAACAACAATTTGTAAAAAAATATCAGAAAATAAAAATACGCCATCTATCCATTTACACAAGAACTAAGCGGCGAGAATCAACTAAGTGGCGAGAATCATAGCGTCCTCTGCGATTGTCTCGAGTAGTGCCAATGTTAGAAGTGTGTACTCATTTCGCTAGATGTCGCTACGATGTATATTTTTTAAATTATTTGATGCAAAAACGAGACAACTTAGAAAAATGTTTCATAATATTTGACTGAGTGGAGAAGTGAAAACTGAAAATCATTTCAATATCTGATATTTCTGATTGATGCTGAACAACAGAGGACCAATTTTCCTACATACGCTGCGACACTTTCTCGATTTCCCAACTGTGAAATTTTCTCTTTACTTCCTTAGGCTTTGTAGTTTTTTTTTTCATACAAATGCGGAAGTCTTTTTGGACACTTGAACCCTGTACACTAAATGTCAGAATATATGATTTTGAGTTTTTTTTTTAAATTTTCTAATATTAGTATCTCGAAAAATATTTACATTCTAGACTCGAAACTTCACAGGATCTCTTTATTTCGACGTCAGCTATTCTAAAGTCCAGAACCGGGCCTCACTTTAACCTTCAAGTTGACTGCTAACGGGCTGCAGATATACAATTCTGGCCCACGATTTTACAATGTTATTCTATTTTACGGAAGTCATAAAGTTAGAAATTAAAGTCATTTTGATAGAGATAACGTCAAATTATCACCCAGAAAGTAGTAATTATAGTAACAAACATGACTAATCTCACAAATCACGTCAGGTCACGTGTGATATCAACATCTCTAGTATTTATTTTAAAACAGCTTGTTGTGCCTAGTCGAGTCTTATTTTTAGTTATTATCTTTACTGCATTTTAGTGCATTTTATATGCTTAATGTTTTTGAAGATTGAGTAAAATGACAGTTCATTCCGCAAAAGTGTTGCCCGCTTGCAAGCAGCAAGTGATTGCAGGCTATAAATATTCTATCGACTGAATGTTGTTTGCGCTTATACAATAAATAGCCGAACTTGTTTAATTTGAATCATTATTGGCCCATTATGTGTTCCACAGGTTACAGGTTAATCTGATGCAGTGTATTGACAACAATACACTATATACACTATATCTATTAAAAATATAAAGACGAGGCATTTAAAAAAAAATCATTTTAATTGTACATAGATAAACAAACCTGCCTTTTCTTATTGAAATGAATATGAGTCAAAATTGATTTCGATACTAGTACGCCAACTGTCTAAGAATAAAGAAGGCAACAACGCAATTATTAGAACGTGTAATAATCACAATGCAGTGATTTTTGGCAAAATTTAACCTTCTTTCACATTCTATCAATAAAGCTATCGACAACAACTACATGACTATTTACAATTTTCTTAAATTATGTCCACGGCCATTTACATAGTAAAAAGTATTCCCAGGCTATTAATTGATCAGCATCAAATAAATATAAGACGGAATTTGGACTTTTTTCAGAGTTACGACATGTAGAGCCGGGTACTCACCAGCGAGCTGTAACTGTAACGTGCAGATACAGTAACGAGGTTCTAGTGTGTGCGCTTGAAACAGCCTTCAATCGGACGGCTCACTCCTTGCCACGAGCGAATCACGTACACACTATGATTTTTGGTTACATAACTCGCAACGGTTACAGTTAGAGCTCGCTAGTGAGTATCATATTATGGATATTAACAATCCTCTTGAGTTATTGGTCCATGGCCCGGGGGCGGCGAAAGGTTGTATCTATCGGTTGTGTCAGACTCCTACCGACTAAAACCTGACGGTGTTCCATCTTCTCACCATATGCGAGTCACGGTTTCGCATGATTCCGCGAATCCAACTCCGATTATGCGCCGAACCCTATCTCGCTTTCCGAGAAGAGATGTTACCTCCCCGTTAGCCGGCTTGACTGGCACACGTGGGACATGTACACCGTCATCTTAGGTCCACCAGTTACGAGTGCCAGTCTCCTCTAAGACTGCCGCTCATGGACCTATGTTATCGGGGCTCACGTTACCCCTTGCCCGTTCACGTCAGTTGGAGAGCCAGAGCCAGAGAGAGTCTTCCTTTAATGGGCTCACTCGGAGTGCAGGCGCGGGCGCGACGGCGGGTGCGGGCGCGCGGGTCTTGGCGTCTTTCCTTTTACAGTGCCGAAGTGGCTACGAGCGGGTAGATCCATACGTCGAAATCGCAAACAGATGCTATGACGCTAGAGCAAGCACTGTGAAAGGCACGGGCGGACCGAACCAATAGATATACACACGTGACGCGCGGGCGACCGCTGTGAACGCAAGGAGCGTCAACGTAGATTTGATTTACACGCACCGGCGTCTGCCGCCACTCTGAATAAGGCCTAATCTTTGCGCCGCCTTAACTACAACCAAGACGTCGAAGACCATACAGGTTATTTCAATATAGTACGAGAGTTCTGTGATGAACACCTTAATTTTTTCAAATTATGTTTACAACCTGTAGGTACAAAACGACAAAGTGACAACTCTACGATCCGAATGACGCGTAGTCATTGACGCGCCGAACAGTTGCGCTACTTTTCACATTTAATATAGATAGAGAGAAGCAGATTTGTTAGCGATTGCAATCTCTTCGGGTGTAAAACAATATTAACAAACGCAAACAATACTGTGAACCAAGTACGTACAAATAGATTTAACTCATTGTATTCCAAATAATTCAGCCATTTAATCGTCATATCCGACGAAATTTTGCTTGAAATGGATCAGCATGCACTACTACGCCCTATGAAAACAATTGTTATAATGTCAATTGTGTGGAAGTGTGCCATTGTGAACTTCCGCTTTCTGTTATACGCAATTTTTGCTATCAGCATTTTATAGTGCTCTTTTACCACACAGGCTGTTATCTGTGCACCATTTGCGAAAATAACTAAATATATCTTTCTTCTCCTGATTACCTATTGTACTAAGTTACTACATCGTCGGTGTTTTGTAGAAAGAGCGTAAGCGACATTTCGAGACATGTTTAAAATACAGACGAATTGAAAACCTTCTTTTTTGAAGTCGGTTAATGAGAAATAGAACATACATATCATCGGTAAGCGACATTTCGAATTTTTTTCAGGGAGCATGTTTTAGGTTATAGTCGACATTTCAATTAAGAAGCGACCGTTATTCCGGTGGACTATCACTGCTCTTTTTTTACTCCAGCATTTCTCTCTATCTTATATTTTCTGGTATATAGCGTGTAAAGTTTTTTGCAATAGCCGAAACGTAAACATATTACGCAGCCCTTGCATCTATAGTACTTATTTCACTTAATCTGCTCTATACCGCAAGTTCAGTGTCCAATCGTACGGCGCGCAAAAATATCGTGCGCATATCCTTTGAGCCGCGTGCGCAAAAATTGATTGAGAAAATTGATATTTATTTTGAATTTTTTGTAAAACGAATTTTTTATCTTTTTAGTTAATGTTAAAATTGTGTATTTTTTTAATGTCGAGAAAATTTTTTTTAAGGGACAATTTTATTTTAATTACTTCCTGATACGGTGTGCTAAGTAAAATTTTCTTTTTTGTAACCTGCGCTTGGATTCTTATTACTAAAGAGGTAGGATTTTTTTTGTGTGCTCTAAATATAACGTGAGATTTGCTGTAAATTAATTTACAGCGCTTTTTTAAACTTATTAATTAACGGGTTTTTAGGGTATGTCCCATATGTTGGTCTTTTAGTTTTAAATAAATCTCGCTTGAAGTCGTCACATTGGTTAAACTCTACTATGCATTTATAAGGCAGATTCCCCTGCGAAGAATGAGTAAGAAAATCTAGAGGTTCTTCTTTTTCTTACTTAGGTACGACAAAAAAGAAATCGGTAGCTGTAGTGTAATCCTTATGAATGAGTTTGTACAGGGAAGTACTGTCGCCGTACCTATTTCTGACGCCAAGCAATAATGTGAACTTTACTGCGTTCCGGTTTTGAAGGGTGCTGGTGAAATTACAGACACGTGTGACGGTAAACTATCACAAACTCGAATTTCTTTTTTTTTCGAATTTCATTACATCACGCTTCGACTTTTTTTCGTTAGTTTGTGATGACAGTTTTGGTATAAATATGTAACACAGAAGTGTCTTACAGCAGAAGTATCGTTTATTTGTTGTAGTTTGTTTGGTTTAGTCATGTTTGTTATACTATCTGTTTTCCATATAATTTAGATTGCTGAAAATTCATTTCGACAAAATTATTATTCTTAGGTAAATTTGTAGCTGTCTATAATCTCAGTACAGAGTACTAAAAAAACCGACGTCAGAAGTCATACATCCCCTAATTTGCCACCCTTAGAGGTGGAATATTTCCTTCAAATTTAAATGGGACCACTACTGACGTAACCTCTTTGCAACAAAAAAGATTCACCATGCCGTACTCTCGTAACATATATGCAAAAAAAACAAAGTCGATTAGAGAACTCCTCCTTGTTGAAGTCGGTAAAAAATAAACATAGATACGAATTTTAAGTATATACTTTTCATAAATTTTCGTAACTCAATTTATACGTTTTGAATGAAATATTTCTTTATTTTTATTACACTTTGAATTTTAGATTACACATAGGTGACTTCATTAGGTAACTTGCATGAAAATTTATATAAAAACATATTTATTTCATAAGATATTTATTTTTTGTGCCAGATTACAATTTTTCTTATTTCATATTTTATAAATATATTACATAAATTACATATTTTATTTCTTTTAAATATTTTTACGTCTTTTTTCGGGTGGAGATCCAGTTGTCATTTTATCAATGTTACCGTCC